TTTTTTAAAGTTTGTAATAGAGACAGGGTCTTGCTATGTTGCCCAGGCTAGTCTTGAACTCCTGGCCTTATGTGATCCTTCCACCTCTGCCTCCCAAGGTGCTGAGATTACAGGCACGAGCTACCATGTCCAGCCAGCTGTAACAATTTTTAATGAAGTCTTTAGGGATTTCTATATATAAGACCATGTCATCTGCAAAAAGAAAATTTTACTTCTTCCCTTCCAATTTGGATGCCTTTTTTGTTTTTTCTTAACTAATTGCTTTGGCTAGGACTTCTAGTACTATGTTGACCAAGGGTGGTGAGAATGGACATCATTGCCTTGTTCCTGATCTTAGAGGAAAAGCTTTCAGTTTTTCACCATTGAGTATGATGTTGACTGTGGGCTTTTTATATATGACCTTGCCCTCAAAGTCCTAGCCTATCTTAATGATCTTTGAAATGCCTTTCAGGTCATTCTCCCATTGTCTTGATGTAGAAGAACACTTGGCTCCCTTCTATCCATACTAATTTCGTTATCGAATTTTACTGTAAGTGGCCAAAAGAAGCCATGCAGCACCTTGAGCACTTTCCTGCTTATCTATTTCTTCTACCAGACAGTATAGATCCTTGCTCCTAAGTTCTACTTTTCACACAGTTTTAGGGAACAGACAAAAGTCCATCAAGTTCTTTGCAACTGTGTAGCAAGGATGGCCTTTACTGCAGTTTCCAATACCTTGTTTTTCATTTGTGTCTGAGGCCTCATCAGAATTGCCTTTACCTTCCACATTTCTACCAACATTCTGATTATGACCACTTAAGTAATCCCTAAGAATTTCCAGACTTTCCCTACATTTCTTCCCTTCTTCTGAGCCTGCATCAGAATTGCCCTTAATGCTCTGTTCATGGCAATATGGAATTTTTTCTAGCCTATTCCTCCAAACTCTTCCAACCTCTGCCTATTATCCATTTTCAAAGCTGCTTCCATATTTTTAGGTACCTGTTATAGCAACACCTCACTTCTCTGGCACCAATTTTCTATCTTCATTTGTTTTTTGCTGCTATAACAGAATACATAAGACTGGATAATTTATAATAAACAGAAATTTATTTGGTTCATGGTTCTGGTTGTTGAGAAATCCAACATTGAGCAACATCTAGCAAGGGTTTTCTTGCTGCATCATCCCATGGCAGAAGGGCAGAAGGCCAAAAGAGCATGTGTGAGGGGTGGGGAAGGAGGCTGTACTCATCCTTTTATCAGGAATCCATACCCACAATAACTAATCCACTCCCGCAACAACAGCATTAATTCATTCATAAGGGCAGAGCCCTCATGAACTGATCATCTCTTGGAGGTTCCACCCCTCAACACTCTTGCACTGGGGATTAAATTTCCAATGCATGAACTTCAGGGAATGCATTCCAAACATAGCAACACCTTATAGTTTTGACAGTCTGTTTTAAGCTAATGACAACTTAAATTGAATCACACAAACAACTCTACACTTTAGGAGTTGGAGACCAGCCTGGTCAACAAAGGAAGACTCCATCTCTACAATTTTTTTTTTTTTTTTTTTTTTAGAGACAGTCTCGCTTTGTCATACAGGCTGGAGTGCAGAGGTGTGATTTTAGCTCACTGCAACCTCCACCTCCTGGATTCAAGTGATTCTTGTGCCTCAGCCTCCCGAATAGCTGGGATGACAGGCACATGCTGTGCTGACATGCCTAGATAATTTTTGTATTTTTTGCAGAGATGGAGTGTTGCTATGTGGGCCAGGCTGGTCTTGAACTCCTGACCTCAAACCATCCATCTGCCTTGGCCTCCCAAAGTGCTGGGATTACAGGCATGAGCCAGCACACTTGGCCTCTACAATTTTTTTTTTAATTAAAAACAAACCAAACCACACAAAAAACAGACCACATGTGGTGACTTATGCCTGTAATTCCAGCAATTTGGGATGCTGAGGCAGGAAGATCACTTGAGTCCAGGAGTTCAAGACCAGCCTGGGCAACATAGTGAGACCTCATCTCTACAAAAAATAAAAATAAAAAAAAATAAAAATAAGTAAAAATAAAAATAAAAAACTTAGCTGAGTGTGGTGGTATGCACCTGTAGTCTCAGCTATTGGTAAGAGGATCACTTGAGCCCGGGAGTTAGAAGCTGCAATGAGCTATGATTACATCACTGCACTCCAGCTTGGGTGACAGAGCAGACCCCCGTATTTAAAAACAAACCAACAAACCAAACTATTTCATTGGGCTTCTTGGATTTGTATTTCCATTATTTCCATTTTCTTCCCTAGATTTGGGAAGTTTTCAATCCATCCTTCCTTCCTTCCTTCCTTCCTTCCTTCCTTCCTTCCTTCTTTCTTTCTTTCTTTTTTGAGACAGAGTCTTGCTCTTTCATCCAGGCTGGAGTACAGTGGCATGATCTCGGCTCACTGCAAGCTCTGCCTCCTGGGCTCAAGTGATTCTTGTGCCTCAGCCTCCCGAGTGGCTGGGATTATAGCCATTATTTCTTTGAATAAACTTTCTGTAGTCTGTTCTTTTTTCTTCCACTTCTGGAACTCTCATAATGCATATATGGTTCTGGTTGGTAGTATCTCACCATTACCTTAAGTTTTCTTCACTCTTTTAAATTATTTTTTCCTTTGCTCCTCTGATTGAATCCTTTTGCAGTGATCTGTCTCTGAGTTCACTGATCCTTTCATCTACTTGGTCTAGTCTGCTGCTGAACCCCTCTAGTGAACTTTTTTAGTTCAGTTATTGTGTTCCTCAGCTCCATGATTTCTTTTTCTTTCTTTTTTTTTTTTTTTTTTTGAGACAGCATCTTGTTCTATCATCTAGGCTGGAGTGCAGTGGTGCAATCTTGGCTCACTGCAACCTCCACCTCCTGGGTTCAAGTGATTCTCCAGCCTCAGCCTCCCAAATAGCTAGGATTACAGACACATGCCACCACGCCCAGCTAATTTTTGTATTTTTTTTCATAGAGATGGGGTTTCGCCATGTTGGCCAGGCTGGTCTAGAACTCCTGACCTCAGGTGATCCACCCGCCTTGGCCTCCCAGAGTGCTGGGATTACAGGCATGAGCCACCATGCCCAGCCTTCAGCTCCATGATTTCTGTGTGGTCTTTTAAAATGTTTTCTTTCTTCTTATTGAAGTTCCCACTGCATTCATGTATTGTTCTCTTGACCTCAGTGAGCATCTTTATAAGAGGTATTTCAAATTGTCTGTCAGGTAAATCATATGACTTCATTTCCTTAGCATAAGTGAGGAAGATGTGTCTTGCTCCTTTGTTTGAAACATCTTTGCCTGATCTTTCATTTTACTTGTTTCTCTGTTTGGCATCTGCACATTACAAAGCAGACATCTCTTTCAGTCTTCACAAATTGGCCTCACACAGGAACATAACCCACACCTATTGTTGTGGGAATCAGGAGGATGAAAGAGACCTCAGGGTAAAGCAGGAGGATCTTTATTGAATGCACTCAGACCCAGCAGACTTAACATCTAAAAACTGGGCCCAGAACAAAGACAGCACTTGACTTTTATACACACTTCTAAAAGGTGGTAGGCTAGCTTGAAGCAGGCTTACAGTGGCATGAAAGCAAGGATATAGAGGCAGAACAATTAATCAAATTGCGATAGGTTTATAACTCAGGATTACACATGACCATTACTATGCAACCCAGATGTCTGTTATCTAGGTTTTGCTCAAAAGAGCCTTGCAGTGGTTTATCTCATAATCTTCACCATGGTGCCCAGATGGCTATAGTTCAGGCCTGCTCAGGCTTCTCATGACCTTTACTGTACTTCTTAAATAATACAGAATACTTGAAGTTACTAGTTACAGAGAGCAAGAATCTATAAACTCATACCATAAAAGAAAGGAAAATTTGTTTTTCCTCTCCCTATGTTGAGGGAGTGCTGAGCACATTCCTTTGTGTCCTAGCTTCTCAGATAGTGTTTATCAAGACTTTTCCTGGGGCTGGGCCTTGCCTGCTACCACCTTTGAGATGAGTTGACCTAATACAGGAAAGCTTATTTCTTTCTCTTTTTAATTTTCTTTTTCTTTTTCTTTCTTTCTTTAATTTCCCACTTCACTAGTAGCCTGGTTGGAGATTCTGGGGTCCTCTACCACCTCTTTCTCACTTCAGGGAGATGCAGGCAGCTGTGTTTTTTTGTCCACCTATTCCGTGCTGAGCCAGAGATGGGGTGGTGGAGGGAACTGTGGCATCTACCAGCCCAAGCTGTTGTCTCCATTCCCCTGCCAGGCAGCTAGACTATGCCAGACCTGTCAGAGCTCTAGGACTGATGAGAAAGATGTAAGTGTTTTGGGGATCCCCAGAGAAGTTGGGGTGCTGGATGCATGGATTAACTCTCCCTCCCCAGGAGAAAGCTGAGAACTAAGATTTTTCATCTGCTCAGTCTGTGCTGAGCAGAGGGGAGGATCAATGATGCCTATCTGCCCAAGACACTGCCTTTATTCTCCCCTGGGTGGTAGACTGTGCCAGACTCATCAGAACTCCAAGACTGGCAAGACAGAAGCCAGTCCTCTGGGGAGCCCTCGTGAAAAAGTTGGGGTTCTGGACATGTGAAACAACTTCTTTCCTCCTATGGGTGGAGCTAGGAGCTTGGGGTGGGGGGGTCTCTTCCTGATTGTATAACACCACACCAGGGTAATAATCTCTGGTTAAAGAATGTCCCAAGTCTCCCTACTGGCTTTGTTGAATCTGGTTTTGAGTTCTCCTTGGGTGCAGGAGTCTTTCAATTAGTTTGATTTCTCACAAAGGGAATTTTTCTGTAAATTGTTGTGCTAGTGGAGGCAAGAAGAGTTCAGGGCTTCTGATTCCGCCATGCTGCTGATGTCATTTCTCTGGGGAGACATTTTCAACTGTCATCAATTTTTCTTATTTTATGATTTTAATGCAAAATTCATCTTAAAAGGCTGATATCCAGAATACTAAACTTATTGGCGATGATTTGTAGTAATTTATTGACATTATCTTTATTGCTTTTAGATAAAATACAATACCCAATTTCAATTAATGTTAATCCCTGCATACAATTGAAGGGATCCAGAGGATTGTTGCACATTTTCTACATTCCAAGTAAGTCCAAATTTTTGCTTTTATAGACCAATCAAAGGAGTTAAGAAATATCAGTCATAAATGATTGTGTTTCAAATATACTTGTGTTCGTTATCTATTGCTATATAACAAATTACCATGATCTTTGTGGCTTAACACAGCACACATTTATTATCTCATCATCTTTGTTTATCAGTATTCTGGGCATGGCTTACCTGTGTCTGCTTCCAGGTCTACCATACGGCTACAATCAAGGTGCTTGCCAGGCTGGAGTCCCTTCTGAGGCTCAACTAGGAAATATATACTTCTAAGCTCACGTAGCTGTTGTCAGTATTCAGTTGTTAGTATTCAGTCCCTTGCTGGCTGTTGGCCACCATCAGTTCCTTACCACATGGACATTTTCAATATGGCTGCTTGCTTTTTCAAAGCCAGCAAGGGGGACAGTCAGCTAACTAGGCAAAATTCACAATCTTATGTAGCATAATCATGGAAGTAACACTCCATCACCTTTGCTGTGTTCTATTGGTTAGAAGCAAATCACTAGGCCAGTCCATACTATTGGGAGAGGATTACACAAGAACATGTGGGTAGACATGGAAATAACTTCAGATGTCCAACAATTTTACAGGTATATCCTTTGTCAATCATTAGCTATAAGTAATATTGGGTTTCCATTAGTGGAAGATCTGTGTGTGAGCAAGCCAGGACTTTAAAATTTTTTAAAGATGGTCTTTCTAGAGAAAAATACAGTAATAATGTGATGACAGAAGGCAATGTGTTTTGTTTTGCTTTGCGTTGTGTCTTGGTTTTCCTCTCTCTGACTCTGCTTGTTATCAGCTTAGAAAAAGCTAACACAGGTGGGGTGATAGCATGGGGCTGTATCTCAGTCTCTGTGCAGACACAAAACTTTTTCTTCTCCTACCAGTTACCCAACATTGCTTATTGCCTGTAAGCTCTGGAATCCCAGAAAACTTTAGTTTTAATCTTTATCATCATCATCATCACCATAATTCACATCCTAGTTTAGATTTGGAGCTTGTTTTCTATTAATGCTTTACAGAGTAGTTTTACATAAATAAGCTTAAACATTTCCCCCCGATATTAGTTATCTGGCTTACCAGAAAAATGAAAAACAACAACAACAACAAAATCCCCGAAACTGAGAACCCAGGAATGATAGACAATAAACTTGTGTTTTAATTTTCATGATTCTAGTTGTTCAACCTGTTTTTTTGACACTCCGTATCTGCATTCATTTATTCACTAAAAAATGCTTAGTAAATTATAAGTATCGTGCTAGGCACTGTGAGTTCATTGATAAGATATTCTCTCTCTCTCTCTTTTTTTCTTTTTTTTCTTTTTTGAAATGGAGTCTCTATCTGTTGCCCCGGCTGGAGTACAGTGGCATGATCTCGGCTCACTGCAGTCTCTGCCTGCTGGGTTCAATCCATTCTCCTGCCTCAGCCTCCTGTGTAGCTGGGATTACAGGCGCCCACTACCACGTCCAGCTAATTTTTGTATTTTTAGTAGAGATGGGGTTTCACCATGTTGGCCAGGCTGGTCTTGAACTCCTGACCTCAAGTGATCCACCCGCCTAGGCCTCCCAAAGTGTTGGGATTACAGGTGTGAGCCACCGTGCCCACCCAATAAGACATTCTCTTGAAATTCAGGAATCCATCAGTGCAATTGGAGAGACAAATCTGCAGATAGTATGGTATAAGTGAAGTGATAGGAATAGAGCTTAGTGACAGCACAGAGCAAAGGATGATTAACTCTATTTCCTCCAATTTCCTGGCCAAGGATAAAATAAATAATCTAAAGTTTTGCTTGGCTAAGGCTCTACAGTTTCTTCCTTTTTCCTAGGTTCTGTTTTCTGGTCTGTTGGCAGGTTTTACCCCTACACATTTGCCATAAAGGATGATTTACATAATGAGTAATCTCACTTTCAATTGAATCCCTTCCCCTTACACACAGGAAACAGGTTGTATCTTTCCAGGCCAAGATAATAAGACAGTACGAAATCATTTAGAGTTCTCTGAAAAGCAGACATTAAGAAGGAATTAGGCTAGAGATTTCTTGGAGGAAACACCTGTGAACAATAAAGGAAGCCAGAGTAGGCTAGGAGAAAATTCAGATTGGGGTGCAGCTCTGATAACTTTGAAAAGAGAGAAGGGAGGAAGGAGAATTAAGTAGGATAACCTTCAGACCAGAATGCATCCCTGAGACACTCTTGGCCTGGGCAACATAGGGAGCCCCAGAGCAGAATGCCTGTCGTAAGAGTCCCATGACAGGCGGGAGTAGCCTGGCTCTAGGGTCCTTGCAGTGCTGGATCATTATAGGAGCAGCCTATGAGAGGGTGGCCTCTGGCTGAGTGCTGAGATAGATGTGAAGGTGCGGCAGCTGCAGACTGTCTGCCAGCTACTCTCCTCACAGCAGCTGCTTTTGAAGGGAAATTTGAGGAATATATCTCGATGGCCATCACAAATGTTTTATAATTTCTCACTAAATATGACATTTATATAACAAATTATATTAATTTATCAACACAATAATTATTCAGTCACATTTTTATAGTGCAATTATGACCTGAGTTTCCATAGAATATACTATAATGTTGGTATAAAGTGTGAGGCCACATTCATGGAAATCGACCTTATTTTTATGGCCTTATTTCTACTTGAATTCGGAAGGAGATACAAGTACAAACTTGAACCAAAAATAGGTTGAGAATGGAAATGATATCTTTTGAGACGTCATAGCCTTGCTAGTAAATTATTTGTATATTATTAACTGATTGACAAATAGAACTGGAGCATAAGCTTCCTTTAAGGTTATTTCTGGAAGTTCCTGGAATTGTCTTTGGTAAGCTAAAAAACAGTCCTCTTATATACCACATGACAGCCACCATGTTTATTTTCTTTTTTTGAGACGGAGTCTCACTCTGTCACCCAGGTTGGAGTGCAGTGGCGTGATCTCGGCTCACTGCAGCCTTCGCCTCTCAGGTTCCAACAATTCTCCTGCCTCAGTACCTCTGGTAGCTGGGATTACAGGAGCCTGCCACCGCGCCCAGCTGATTTTTGTATTTTTAGCAGAGATGGGGTTTTGCCATGTTGGCCAGGATGGTCTCAAACTCCTGACCTCAGGTGATCTGCCTCTCAAATTGCTAGGATTACAGGCGTGAGCCACCGTGCCCAGCCCATGTTTCTTGTCCCTCACTCCAACACCCACATTGACATCCCTAGCCTGCTGAGCCACAAAAGTGATGTCTCATTGTTGCCATTGTTCATGTTCTTAACATGACCACAGGGGTATCCAAGGCCAAGGAGTTTCTCACAACGTAAACTATTGAGTTGTTAAAGCAGGACTTCCTTTCCTGGAGTTATTGAAGACTGGAATCATGCTGTGTTTCACGAAGAAATGGAAGAAGGTCCTTTGTCCTGCATTGTCACTGGACACCACGGTGGCACTGTCTTGTGCTTCTGTGTCTCCAGGAATTCCTTGTGAAAACGGTCTTTCAACTTCTACACACAGCCCTGCTTTTGGAGAAGTTCAAGCCAAAGTCCATGGAGTAGGCCATGGAATCACTGTTTGAAACAGACCCCATGATAGTCTTCTCCACACCCTACCCTGAAAGTTGAGAAGTGAAGACAAATTAGGAAGTTTGGTGGTGCTTCAGGTTCAGAGCAATGAGGGCCTGCATGAAGGCAGCACGGTAATGGGTATGAAAAGGAGGTTAGAAAGATTTACTAGGACTGGGAATTCTAGTGCCAGTTTGGTGATGAAGAGGAGGAAATCACTTTTAGATCTGTTGGGTAAGGTAACTGGGCAACATTTGAGTAGAGATATTGAATAAATACATGGGATCAATGCTCAGGAGAAAGGTTGAGACTAAAGTTGATTTGAAAATTGTCACCTTATGTGGTATTTGGTCTGAGAGAGTGTGCAGAGTGAAAATTGAGGAGAACTGAGGCTAGAACCTGGAGAAATCTAGGAGTCAATGAAATAGACTGAGGAGGAGAAGTCAGAGAGATTGGAGGACACCTGGAAGAGAGTGGTTGCACCAACACCAAAGAAGGTTTAGGGAAAGAAGCAGGCAGTTCTATTAAGCATAGCCAAGTTCAAATTAAAGTTAGAAAAGTTGTCTTTTGATTATGGTTATAATGAGTCATGGTGATCTTACTTGGAAAATATTTTCAGTGAGGTAGTGGTTGCAAAATTGTTTTCATTATGAAAAGGATTGTGCGTCTTTTTTGCCTGGGCACAGTGGCTCATGCCTGTAATCCCAGCACTTTGGGAGGCTGAGGCGGGTGGATCACAAAGTCAGGACTTCAAGACCAGCCTGGCCAAGATGGTGAAACCCCATCTCTACTAAAAACAAAAAAAATTAGCTGGACGTGGTGGCAGGCGCCTGTCATCCCAGCTACTCGGGAGGCTGAGGCAGGAGAATCGCTTGAACCTGGGCAGCGAAGGTTGCAGTGAGCCAAGATTATGCCACTGCACTCCAGTCTGTCTCAAAAAAAAAAAAAAAAAAAGAAAGAAAAAGAAAAAGAAAAAGAAAGAAAAGGATTGTGCATCTTTTTCATTTGGGCCAACTGAATAAGTTGGAAGAGTTGAGAAAAATGCATTGATTACTGGAATTTTTCATGGTAGTTGGAAATAGGGAGATCACAAGGAAATTAAAAAATAGCCATATATTTATTTTTCATCAAAAGATTCTATTTTATTCTCAAGAACTCTTTCATCAGAACTCCTAGAAAGTTGACTGTCTCACTGTCTTTCCTTTCCCTTTCTTTTCTTTTGAATTTTCTAGCAGAACCATGATTAGAACTAGACATTTTATGTCTTTATTTCATAGTTTTCTCTATGAAGTTATGAAGGCTCTTCTGTTTTTAGGCAGAGCATGCATAGTTTTACCGTGGAACACTGTATTTGATTATGATTTACTAGTTGCCCTCTCAGAACTTCAGTTTTCTCATCTGCAGAAGAAGAGTAATAATACCCACCTTTTAGATAGTTGTGATGATTAAATGAAATAATGTAAGAAAAGCACAGGGCCCCTTTTAACTATACAATAAATGTTAATCATTATGTATAAAAGAATCTACTATTTGAGGACCTAATGGGATTTTTTCTTTTAAAGGGAGAGATGTAAAGCAATTATATTTCAATCTCTCTATAACTGTCAACTCCATGACTCTTCCAAAGCGCAAAGAAGTTATTTGCCGAGGATCTGATGATGATTATTCTTTTTGCAGAGCTCTGAAGGGAGGTAAGTGTTCAGTTCATATTACTTTTAGAATAGGAAATAATTCCTTATGAAAATGTTGTGAAAATTAAATACATTGAAAATGAAAACTTCCTTTTCTGGTAATAATTCTTTTTCTATCCAAAGTTTTTACTTTTAGCAGCTTAAATAGCATTTTATAATTATGTACTTGAATTGTTAAGATGACACTAATATGATTTGTATTGTTAATATTTTTCATAGTAACCCACCCGATTTTCTATACAGTCATTGGTTTCTTCAGTGACTTCTGCCTTTATGTTCCTCCTTGGAATTATTTACAGAATCATAACATCCAGAAATTAGGACCCTTACAGAGATCTTACACCAAGAGATAAAAAATAAAAATAAAAAATGAATTTAAAAAAAGGAATTACCACTTTAAAACTATATTCCAGCTTTTCCGTTTACCAGCAATGTGACTTTCAGCATGTTATTAATATTTAACTCTTCTTGGCCTCATTTTCCTCAGCTATAAAATGGGGAAGTAAAACACATCATAAATAGTTTTAAGAATTAAATTAGAGAATGTGTGTAAAAGAAAAAAAAAAGCCTAGTACAGTGTTCAGAATAAGAATCCTTCTTTTGTTACCGATTTTCCAGTCCTGTCATCTTTATAATGAGGGAACTGATGTTTGCAGTGGCTCAGTAAGGTGTCCATGGTCATTTGGAGAACTAGTAACAGAGTAGCCTCCTAACTCTAAGATATGACTCTTCTACTGTGTCATGCTTTCTCTTTGAAAAAAAAATTCCCTTAGCAGATTACTGTTTTTTTTAAATTGTGCATTTCTTTTGCGCAACTGTTTTACAATTATTTTACACAATCTCTGTGGGATTACACTGATATTTTACTTGAATCTTCAAAGTTTCTCTTTCTTGAGACCTCAGAGGTGTCAGACTCAAGTCAGCTTGTCTACTTCTTCTCTCCCTCCTCCCACTTTCTTCCATAAACATCTATTGAACCTAATTTGGGCAAATCATGATTTAGGTTCTAGTTATCTGAAGTTGAATGGTAGGATCTCCTTGCTCAGAAAGTCACTCTGGGGAAAACTGGATTGCCATATGCAGAAGAATGAACCTGGACCCCTATCTCTCACCACATTCAAAAATCAACTCAAGATGGATGAACAACTTAAGCATAAGATCTGCAATTATAAATATACTAGAAGAAACCTAGGGAAGATTCTTCAGGACATTGGTCTAGACAAAGAATTTATGACAAAGATCTCAAAAGCACAGGCAATAAAGACAAAAGTAGACAAAAAGGATTTAATTACATCAAAAAGCTTCTGCATAGCAAAAGAAATAATGGAGTGAACAGACAATCTGTAGTATATGAGAAAAAATTCACAAACTATTCATCCAACAGGGTACTAACATTCAGAATGTACAAGGAACTCAAACAACTCAACAACAACAACAAAAACAACCGCATTAAGAAGTGGGAAAAGTGGCCGGGCACAGTGGCTCATGCCTGTAATCCCAGCACTTTGGGAGACTGAGACAGGTGGATCACGATGTCAGGAGTTCTAGACCAGCCTGGCCAACGTAGGGAAACCTTGTCTCTGCCAAAAATACAAAAATTAGCCAGGTGTGGTGGCATGCGCCTGTAGTCCCAGCTACTTGAGAGGCTGAGGCAGGAAAATCCCTTGAACCCGGGAGGTGGAGGTTGCAGTGAGGTGAGACGATGCCATTGCACTCCAGTCCAGGTGACAGAGTGAGACTCAGTCTCAAAAAAAAAAAAGAAAAAAAAAAGTGGGAAAAGGACATGAGTGGATACTTATAGATACTTTTCAAAAGAAGAGATAGAAATGGCCAACACATATATTAAAACATGCTCAGCATCACTAATCGTCAGAGAATTGCAAATTAAAATTGCAATGAGATATCATCTTACCCCAGTCAGAATGGCTATTCTTAAAAAGATGAAAAGTAACAGATGTTAGCAAGAATATGGAGAAAAGAGAACTCATCCACTTTTGGTGGGAATGTAAATTAGTACAGCCTCTATGGAAAGCAGTATGGGGATTTATCAAAGAACTAAAAATAGAACCACCATTCCATCTAGCAATTTCACTACTAGGTATCTACTCAAAGGAAAAGAAATCAATACATCAAAAAGATACCTGCACTCATATGTTTATTGCACTAGTCACAATAGCAAAGGTATGGAGTTCACCTAAGTGTTCATCAACAGACGAATGGGTAAATAAAATGTGGTATATTTACACAAAGGAATATTATTAAGCCATTACAAAAATGAAATCATATATTTTTCAGCAACATGGATGGAACTGGAGGCCATTATCTTAAGTGAAACAAACCAGGCACAGAAAGTCAAATATTGCATGTTCCCACCCATAAGTGGGTGCTAAAAATGTGTACACATGTACTAGAGAGTGGAATGATAGTGAAGAGTTGGAAGGGTGAGGGGTGGATGATGCAAAATTAGTTAATGGGTATATGTTACTTGGGTGATGGGAACCCTAAAAGCCCTGACTTGACCACTACACGACCTATGCAGGTAATGAGATTGCACATGTACCTGGTAAATCAGTATTTAAAAAAAAAAAAGTCACTCCATTCTGGGAAACACTGTCACAAAAACAAAATTTACAATAAAATTATATGTAATTACCTGTAATGAATTTTATTGTAAATTCATTACAGGTGTGAGCCATTGCCATACAATAAAATTATATGTACATATAATTATACTAAATATAATTTTATTGTAAATTAATTGTAAAAAAGTATATGTAAATAACATATAGTTCTATTAGCAATAGAATTATAGGTTATTAGTTTTAACTATATAGTTACTAAATAACTGTGGCAGAAAAACTGGGATAAGGTGTTTTTTTTTTTTTGAGAAAAGATCTTGCTCTGTCACCCAGATTGGAGTGCAGTGGTGCAATCATAGCTCACTGCAGCCTCAAACTCCTCAGCTCAAGTCATCGTCTAGTCACAGCCTCCTGAGTAGCAAGGACTACAGGCACAGGTCACTATGCCCAGCTAATTTTTTTTTTTTTTTTTTTTTTGAGACGGAGTCTCGCTCTGTCTCCCAGGCTGGAGTGTAATGGCGCAATCTCAGCTCACTGCAACCTGCACCTCCCGGGTTCAAGTGATTCTGCCTCAGCCTCCCGAGTAGCTGGGACTAAAGGTGTATGCCACCATGCCCAGCTAATTTTTGTAGTTTTGGTAGAGACAGGTTTTCATCATGTTAGCCAGGCTGGTCTCAAACTCCTGACCTCAGGCCATCCGACCGCCTCGGCCTCCCAAAGTGCTGGAATTACAGGTGTGAGCCACTGCACCCGGCCCTAATTTTAAATTTAATTTTATTTTAATTAAAAAATAGAGATAAGGTCTCACTTTATCTTGAGCCCAGGCTGGTCTTGAACTCCTGGGCTCAAGTGATCCTCCTGCCTCAGCCTCCCAGAGTGCTGGGATTACAGGTGTGAGCCATTGCTCCTGGGCATTTTTAAATTTTTTGTAGAGACAGGGTCTCACTATATTGCCCAGGCTGGTCAGACAAGCCTTCAATAGAGTATTTTATTAGAGCCTTGAATCTGAAAGCATCAGAGAGTGATGGGGAAAAACATTCCCTGGAGAGGAAACAGCATATGCAAACACATCTAGTCATGAAAGAGTATGGTTTATTTGGAGAGTAGTTTTTTTGTAGTTGGAGCAGAATGTGCTTGTGGGGAATTGCTGGAGATGAGCCTAGAAAAGGGGGCAGTGTGAGCATATAAGTCATGCGCAAAATATTGGCCTGTATCCTATAGTCAGTGGGCAGGGATGACCCACTGAGATTTCCATTTTTGCAGATAACTAGCATCCATATGGCAGGAGGTGGGGGTAGGCTGAGGCAGGAAACTTGGGTGGAAGGAAGAGCATCCAGGAGGCTCTGTGAGAGACCATGAAGGGTGAACGTGATGGCAACCAGGGAGTAGCAGGCAGGAGATGAAAGAGAGCGTTTTGGGAGACAGAATAGGCAGGATACACTGATTTAATGTGGCAGGCAAGGATTAGGTAAGATCAAGAACCTCTTGGGCTGGTTACCTGTAATACCAGCACTTTGGGAGGCCGAGGCTAAGAGTCTGAGGCCAGACTGGGCAAGGAGGTGAAACCCCATCTCTCAAAAAAAAAAAAAAAAAATTAGCTGGGTGTGGTGGTACCAGCCTTTAGTCCAGCTACTTGGGAGGCTGAGGTGGGAGGATCACTTGCACCCAGGAGGTCTTGGCTAGCTGTGATCCACCATTGTACTCCTGACTCAAAAAAAAAGAAAAAAAAAAAAGATAAAGAAAAAAAAGCACCACACTTGAGGGCCAGTGACTGGATGTATGGAAGTGCTATTATCTGAGATGATGTGTACAAAAGAACAGGCAGGTTTTTTTTTTTTTTTTTTTTTTAGGGAAACATAATGAGTTCTGGCTTGGGCATGTTAAGCTCAAGGTAATTTTGGAACATTCAAATAAACATGGCCATCTGGCAGCTGAGTATGTGGGCCCAGAACTTAGGACTTTCTGATTTAAGAAGCATTGACGTAGCAAGAGTCCCTTGAAATTTGGGAGTCAAATTTGCAAGTACCATACATATCTATGTTTAAAATAATTTTCCTTTTGGTTGTTATAAAAGTTATACATCTTTATGATATGATATTTAGAAAATATGGACAAGCAATTATAAAGTAAAAGTTACCCATAATCTCACCAGTTTTTACACACACACACACACACACACACACACATATCTGTTTCTTTCAAAAACACATTTATGAATCAATAGATGGATATTTCAAAGCATCTTAAATTTAATAAGCCTGAGCTGGGCATGGTAGTTCATGCCTGCAATCCCAGCACTTTGTGAGGCCAAGGCAGGTGGGTTGCTTGACATCAAGAGTTTGAGAACAGCCTGGACAACATGGTGAAATGCCGTCTCTACCAAAAATACAAAAATTAGCTGGGCCTGCTGGCTCATGCCTG